GATTGACTAGGACCCTCATCAGATCCACACTAGGCGACGCCTGGAAAGGCGTCCCCTAAATCCCGGCCGGCATCGTCAATCTTGACGCCTTCCCGCCTCAGCAGCATCCTCTTCTCGTCAAGCGTGATGCCCTCGCCGTCGCGCGGCCACTTCCCCTTGAAGCCGCCGAGCTTGCCGCCCGTCGCCACGACGCGGTGGCACGGGACCTGGGGCGCGAAGGGGTTGCGGCGCAGCGCGTTGCCGACGGCGCGGGGCGACGAGCCGAGATGGGCGGCGAGGATGGCGTAGGTGGTGACCTGGCCCTTGGGCACCTGGCACAGGGCTGTCCAGACGCGCTTCTCGTGCGTGGTGCGTGTCGAGGCGGCGATGCGGGCGAGCTGGGGGCCCATGTCTTTGGTGTCGTAGGTTGTCATTTTGGACTTGGGAGCCGCAGCGGGCTTGGGAGACGTCGAGGTGGAAGACATGCTTGGAAGGCTTGGGGGGTGGATTGGCCGGGGTAAGATGGCAATGCGGAGACGAGAGATGTGGTTTTTAATTTATTTTTGGCCAAGACTTCAAGTTGATATGGATGAGATTTAATGATGAGAAAAGAATGCGAAGAGGGGGTTTGGCTTTGGTGTCGAATTACGTTGCTGGCGGCATTGTCAATGAAAGGGCGCGCGTCGTGATGGTGGCTCCTGACGCGAAATGACTGCCCCGCTCAAGTCATTGTGTCGCGAAGTCATGTGATCTTCGGCGTGCCAGCATTACGACATGAATTGAGCGAGCCGCCCAGCAGAGCACAGCACACAGAGCATGCCAGGAGTTGCCAGCAGAAGAATGGTATCAATGCGATCCTGGAGAGGACAACTCGAAGATCGCCCACTACACAATTTTTTCTATAACGCCAAGGTGCCCATGATGCTTAATCACCCGTGTCCACCTCCAAGTCTAGCTGCACCCCGTTGCTCACTCCGTAGTCCTCCAAGGTCAGCTGGTCCTTGAACGGCCTCTCGCCCTGCCTCTTCAGCAAGATCTCGTGCGGCTTCCTGCCGACCCGCGCTGCCACCATAATCTTGAACATCTTCACAGGGTCCGAGGCCAGGCAGGGAATCGCGACCTTGGTGCCGAGTCGGTCGTTGACGTGGACAATGATGTACTCCTCGCCGCCAGAGGGCGCCGGAGCCACCTTGTCCCTGGGTGCCTTGTCCTTCTTCTTCCTCTTGTCTCTGTCTTCTGCCGCCGCGGGGGACCTTGTTCGGTTGCCGCTGCCGCTGCCGCTGCCGCTGCTGTTGTCTGCGGCAGCTGGTCGGCGCGGGGGTCTGTCGTCGTTGCCGTCGCGGTCACGGTCGCGACGAGGCGAGCGCGAGCGCGAACGGTTGCGGTAGCCGCGGTTGAGGGTGCGGCGGTCGTCTGGGCGGTCGTCGGTGCGCGAGGACTTGTCCTTCCAGCGGAAGCCTCCGCCGCCGCCTTGTTTGCGTTCGCGGGGACGGTCTCGCTCACGGGAACGGTCGCGATCGCGGCGCGGCGAGCGCGATCTTGACCTTGCTCGGTCGGCCATTGTGGCGGGTGTGGACGTCAGAGCTGGCGGGTGTGTCGACGTCAGAGATGGTGGGGGTGTGTTGGGGTGTTGATTGATGGCATGGCCAAAGGCATGCTGGTTGAGAGGACTTGACGGTTTCGGATTATCTAATCATGATGTGGAAGCCTTTATCTTAGGTTCCTACTTAAGGTACCCACAAGTACCAGCTCTGGTACCTACGGTAGGTACATAGTACTAACTTAGGCACCTACGCCTGCCGTTCTAGCCGGCTGCTCTGGGGTATCCCCGCCATCACTGTCGTGTACCATGTCGCACTCGGTGGGGTATTTCGTCTCGCGACCGGCAATCTCGGACGATGTTGCCTTTCTACTGATATACACGACTCCAAGTTTATTTGCTGCCATTGTCCGGCAGCCTGCCATCGCGGCCCACCTCCATCCCATTACCCCAGGCACCCGCGGACCCGTTCTTCGTGCAGACGACCCCCTTCGCTTACAGTACTTCGCTTACAGTACTTCGCTTACGGACGCAGGATACTCTTCTGGCTCGAAGTGGATGCATTGTCCGTCTCATCAGCGAGGTTGGCGTAGCCCCGCGCCTTCCTGTCCGTCTCCCTGTACTCGGTCACAATCGTCTCCCTCGTCTGCAGGATGCCCTCAATGTGGCCCATGGAGCGTCCCACGGGGCTCGACTCAAAGCCATGCACGTTGTCCGCCTCAATCTTGGTCTTGCGCGCCATCGACCCCATGGTCGCCATGCCAAACGTGTCGCCCGTCTCCTCGCCATTGGACGTCGCATGGGCCCGCCTGCCGTTGTTCCAGAGACCGTACATGGTGGGCGCGTTGACGACAAAGGCCGTGACGAGCAGCTCGACGCTCGCCCACGTCGACCGGTCGAGCTGGCTGTCCTTGTGGAGCGTCGTGATGGGCAGGCGCACGATGGTGATGGCGATGATGAAGAGGCCGAGCAGGAACAGCACGTACAGCTGCGCCTTGAGCCGCCACGCCGCCTGCATGGCCACGACGAGCGGCAGCGGCAGCAGGATCAGCATCAGGTCCGTGACGATGTTGAGGATCCCAACCGTCATGAGCTGCGCCTCGGCTTCGACGCAAGAGCCTGCGCGCGTCAGTCTGAAAGTCGAACCGCTGGGAAAGCCGCATTGCCTGCCAGTGGGGGGCAAAAAAAAAAAAAAAAAAAAAAAAAAAAAAAAAAAAGGAAAGAAATCCATACCTGGATGAGGGACGACCTGCCAATAGAGATGGATGGGTTTGCATTCGATGAACGTGCTGACTTGGCAGGCTATCCATGTGACGAGGAAAACGGCAAGGAAACTATAAACCTTGATGTGCTCGTGCGGAAGCTTGACCAGCAAGCGACGATAGAGGTCCAGGAGCACCAGCTTTTGGAGCCACAGGCTTTTTCAAGAGAGAGGATACGTCAGCGTTGGCACAGCGGGAGGCAGGCCTCGAGGGAACTGACTAGGAACTGTAGACCACGCGCGCCGTCAGGGCAAGCTTGCTGCCAATCTCGCGTTGGTGAATCTCCTCGGGCGTGAACACATGGTTCTCGCGATAGGCGGCCGGCATGTTGTTGGTCTTCCACGTCAAGACCATGTGGATGATACCCATCCTGGCCACGACGAAAAAGCAGGCGGCCATGGTCAGGTAGTCGCCGAGATTGAACGCCTGTTTGGCCACCTTGCGCCAGATCAGCCTGACCACCATGATGGCGAGGGCTATCCAGCTGAACAGCCAGTGGATGATGATGAGGGTCGGATGGTCCATCGCGGCAAGCATCCCTTGGAAGGGCCAATTGTCTGTCTGCCTGTCTGTCGATGTATGGAAAACTGACGCCGGATGCGGCTCAAAAGAAGAATAGGAAACCCAACAGCAGGGACAGGCTGGAGCGATGAACCCAGAACGCCGTGTCTATATACAGCAGACCTCGATGTCCCCAGCACGATCAACCAACCTTATGTGTCTGGTTCCGCTGCCTACTGCAGGTCATTCGACCCCCTATCTCGCCTCCCCGCGTGCGATGGAAGGTTCCGGCCGGTAAACCCCAGGCGACACGATCTTTCGAGGGCGACGTGAAACTACCCCAGGCCAGGCCAGGGGGGGGGGCGAGTGCCCATCCTGCGCGACTTGTCGGCATACAAGTTTTTCTACCACTGTTCGACGTGCTGATCGTTCCCTTCCAATTTGTTCGACGAAAATCTCCATGACATACTGGCCGGGGCCTTGAGTCGTGAAGCGAGCTGTGGCGGCCACATGTCAAAGATGGTGATGGGTCCGAAAGCGCCGCGAACCCCTGCCCCGGATTGTCAGTCAAGTCATATAAAGTTTTTAATGTTCCTTAGCCCATCATGCGTACAAGTGCCGTTTGTTTTAGTGTCTCCGCTATCAGAGCGTGTGCCTGGCTAGGGTCCTGTTCACTCGCTTGCGCCGTTGGTACCTCGTTACCGAGACTCACTCCCGATCCCCCTTCTCCTTTGTTCGCTTTCGATCGCTTTCGAGGGCCATCCCCACACCTCTCGTGTCTCGCTAGACCAAGACGGCCATGCACTTCCCCCAGCTTGCCGCTATGACCGCCACCCTGTTCGGCCAGGCCCTGGCCCATCCCCAATCGCGGAACGATAATTTCGTCGCAGAGGTGCCGTCCACCCGGTCCTACTTCATGATCGCGGGAGGTTACGTTGACGATGGAGCCGGCGGTCACATTTTTTCGCCATCAGATGTACGTTGAGAAATTGGCCCCCGGCCACAAGTGCTAGCCGAGGCGCGCCTATCATCCTGATCCACGGCCAAGCACAGACTGGAAGTTGTGGGTGAGCTCTCTGATCTGATCTGATCGATCCCCAAGTCATGAGACGACGCGCGCGGAAGATACCATGCTGGAAAAAAAAAACCCCATGCTCAGAATTTTCTGAATAAACCCCGACGGCGGCCGGGGCTGGGCACCGCCGTTCATCCAGCAAGGCTACGAGGTCTCCATCGTCGACCAGACCTTCCGGGGCCGCTCCGCCTGCATGTCGGGGAACGGCGCTGCCAAGGCGTCGACCTATACTCCGCCGAGACCATCTACCAGCGCTTTTACCGCCGCCGAGGACAACCATCTTCTGGCCCCAGGCCGTCCGCCACACCCAGTGGCCCGGGACCGGCAAGATGGGCGACTCGGTTTTGAACGCCTTGTACAGCTTCCAACCTCCAGTTCATCAACAACGCCACCTAACCATCAGGCAGCGGTCCAGGCAGCCGGCGCCGCGCTCCTCGGCAAGATCGGCAGGCCCTGTCGTCCTCGTCGGCCACAGCCCCAGGGCGGCCTCATGCCCCCTTCTCATCACCGACGCGAGGCCCGAGCTTACCAAGGCCCTCGTCCTCGAGCCCATGGCCCCTCCTCCCCCCTTTCGCGACGCCATCTTCAGCACCAGGGCCGCCAGCTCGCCAACCGCGCTGACAAACCGACCCTCGTCGTCACGGCCGAGGCTTCGTACCACATGCCCTACGATTACTGCACCGTCGACTTCCTCCGCCGGGCTGGCTGCTCTGGGACGAGGCACGTCGAGCTCGCCGACGAGGGCATCCGCGGCAACGGCTACAGGTTCTTCGTGGCGAAGAACAGTGATGTCATCCAACGCTTGCCCGAGAAGTGGATCTCCGCGCAGTAATCGCGGGATGCCTCCTCATGTCGTACCCGATGCAACCTTGGTGTAGCTAGCATTCCGTTCGGCATGAGTTCCTGAAACCACGCGGTTGATGGCATGATTCGGCTAACATGAGCAGCGAAAACCGATATAGAACAAACGATATAGAACAATAGACCAGCGGGATCGCGCACTAAGGCCATTAAACTCATTTGTCGTCCCTTTTCGGGAACCTGCGCGTCCATGCTGATGTCGCAAGTCGCAGTTCTTGTTCGCTTCATAGTCGAATGATTGGTTGTCTACATGACTGGATGCACCCTGTGCATGCAATTTCTTAACCGCTGCCAAGATCTCTCAGAATTCAACATCTCTCCCAACGATGGTCAGATCATGTCGTTATTCGCCAACCGAGCCATGCCTCTGCAAGTGCTAGACGCGCGCTTAGAGGGAAACCCAAGCAACGTCAACGAAGGGTCCGGAGGTGCCAAACCCCTACCGAGCCTAAATAGTCGATCCGTGTCTGCTTGACGATCGATTCTGTGTTCCTTCGTTCATCTCTTTCGTTCATCTCTTGAAGACGAGGCGAATGAGCCATTCATCGCAACAACATCCTCTCCCATCGCAGTATCATGGAACCGTCACGGCCACGAAGTTGCCGCAGCTTCGGCGTGGCCATCATCTGCGCCCTAGAAATAGAAGCAGATGCCGTCAAGGCCTCGTTCGACAACGATTGGGACACGTCAGCTGGGCTACCTTACGACAAGGCCCCGGGTGATCCCAATGTCTACTTCAACGGCTCTATCGACCGCCACAATGTTGTGCTCGTCCGCCTGCCAGGACCAGGGAAGGTCAATGCTGCGATTGGTGCTTCGAACTGCCGGGCCAGCTATCCGAACATCAAACTCGCCATTCTTGTTGGCATTTGCAGCACAATTCCCTTGGCCTCTGACGGCAACACCAAGATTGCCCTAGGCGACGTCATCATCAGCGAAGGTGTGATTGAGTACGATCTCGGGCATCAAACCACGGATCGGTTCACCCGGAAAGAGGATCTCTTGCACTCGCTGGGTAGACCTGGTTTGCAAGTTCGCTCGCTTCTCACGAAGCTCAAAAGTCTCCGCAGTCGCAGAAGCATGCAACGCCAAATGGCAGACTGCCTTGGTGCCATTCAGTACGCTCCTGGGATGGCGAGAGGGACCCCCCTGACAGATCGGAATCAGACATTCCACGATCCCTGCCTGACGCATGAAAGGGTGCGCTGCGGTGACTGCGGTTGCGGTGGGCAGGTCGGATCGCATAATCCTCTCAACCGAGAGATACACCCACCAACCGTGCACTTTGGCCTGATAGCATCGGGCGATACTGTGGTAGGATCCAAGGAGAAAATGGATCATGTCTTGCGCTCAGAGAATATTCTAGCCTTCGACTCGGAGAGCGCTGGCGTCTGGGATATCTTCCCAAGTATTGCCATCAGAGGCGCAGGCACCTACGTAGACGGCACCAGGACAACAGGAGGGGACAGGCGCGCGGCATCTACGGCAGCGGCATGTGTGAAAGTACTCCTGAGCGATTGGCAGCCTGGCTTGTGTTCACAGCACGGTACGAATAGCCACCTCTGTTCCAGGTTGTGCGTGTCTGTGTGCTAAGCCACTATTTAGAGGAAGAGCCGTCGGAACCTTGTGCTGTCATTGAGCCAGATAACGGACCTTGGTGTATGTATCCTTGTATGCTATGTATCGTTGAAAGGCTTCTCATAAGAGTTATCCGTAGTCATTGTCCCGTATGCGAGAAACGGGAACTTCGTCGAGCGGACTGCCATCATGACGCAGCTATGGCGAAACCCTTCAATGGAGGCCTCGCAATCCAGACTTTTGCTGTTTGGTCTAGCTGGAACAGGGTAGGTGCACCCAAATCTCCTGGTTCACGCCAAGCTGATGCCTCCGAAGGAAAACACAAATCGCACTGGAATACGCAAACCGGTTCCGCGAGGCGAACCCAACCGCTTCTGTCTTCTGGATCCGTGCCAACACCCCTGAGCAAATCAACCAGACCTTCAAAGACATTGCACAAGAATGTCAGATTCCGGGCTGTCACGACCTTGAGGTTGATCCACTGGTAACGGTCAGTAATTGGTTGAATAAGACACAAGGTAATGTCTGGCTCATGGTGATCGACAATGCCGACGACATACAAGCTCTGTTTCCGCCAGAAGGGGGCACGGCACGATCTGACTGTGAAGTGGCCAGGAGCTGGCTGGGGCACCTCGTCCCTCAGTGTGCTCATGGTTCGGTTCTCATAACGACAAGCGACAAGGAGGCAGGCATGAGGCTCAATCAGGGAAACAAACCCAAGTCGGCATAATGACTGCCAACGAGTCGGAACACCTCCTTCGCAGAAGTTTAGACAACGGAAGCTCTGACGAATTGCAAGCCTTGGCGTCGAAGCTTGGGCAACTACCAATGGCGTTGGTCCAAGCCACGTACTTCATCCAGGCCAACAGCCTTTCCATCGCAGACTACATCAGTCTCGTGGAAGAGAGTGACGAAAGCTTCTTCCGTCTTCTGAGCGAAGAGTTCGAGACCGCGGGGCGCGAGCCAACAGCACCTCGAACAGTGGCGCAATCCTGGATCGTCTTGTTTCGGCAGATTCAGCTTCAAGATACTCTTGCAGGCGAACTTCTCTCTATGATGAGCTTTTTCCACCATGAAAGCATTCCATTGGAGGTTTTGTGGAAATGGAGCCTACAGAGACAAGACCGAGGCCCCGGAAGCAGAATCGACTTCACGAAGGCGCTGGGGCGCCTCAAGGCATTCAGCCTAGTCGTTGAAGAAAACCCCGGCTACCTTAGCGTTCACAGGCTGGTACACCTGGTCACACGTATGTGGCTTCGCGAAGAGGGCATGGCACATCGTCTTGAGGAAGCTTTACTTCTGGTTGTGGCAAGCGTGCATCCCTCCGATGTTGCGAAGAGCCGGACGACTGGTGTTGAGCATCCCCCCTCGGGCAATCGCCCCTCAGGAAGCCGCAATTGGTCTCCCAGCACATGTCACACAGGAGAAGGCGTCTACTGTTTACCGCGTTGCTGATCGTACGCAATTGAAAAACCAGCATATGCATGCCAATCAGGAAACCAAGCATGCAGCATGGGAGGAGGAAGCGGATATCCCCATGGAATTCGATGATGAGCATGTTGATTCCATGGCCTGTATCAGATTAACTGTCAATCATGAAGAGTCTGGGTGGTTGGCGGTCACAAATGGGGCCAGGAAGGCAGGGATTTACGAGGTTCGCACAGATGATTAACGATACAATGTCGCATATCCTTACGAGGACAATCTGTATGAGCCCATATCGAATAGGAAGATATTGTATCGATACGTACATTGTTTCTGTTTAGCGAAGGATGGTCAAAGTCCCTCAAGCCGCGAAGTTGTTGTAGAACTCGATTAGCTCACCAGGCAGCTGCTCATGACATACGGATGCCAGACAATTGGATCTCAACAACACTGTTGAAATATTGGGGTGGTATGATGAATGGCTAAAAGTCAAGAGAAGAACTCGCTCAACTGAATTCTGGAAGGTCCATGGCTCAGCATCAATGTTCGTCCCTGATCTCAGTATCAAGCTACCGTCCAAAGACACCCCTGCGCATGTCAGAATGGGCCAATATACAAATTCTGTCGTCACCAAGCACGCCGCAAAGCCATCACGCCTCCGTCATGACTGCCCCCCCTCCAGCCACGGCAGTCGAATCTCCACGGGGCGCATATCCGCCTCGACCAAGTCCACAACAGCCCTAGCCTCCAGCCCCCTCAGCGCAGCCAGCACCTCAGCATACGCCTCCTCGCTGATGCCCTCGCTGCGATCACAGTAAACGTCAACACCCTCCTTCGTGAACAGCGTCGGCGCAAACCACGTGACAGCCCACCTCTCGACGCCCCCGCCGGGCAGCGGCCGCTCGCCGCACCCGAGCACCTCCCAGTGCGACGAGACGAAGAACAGCAGGCCGCTGCCGCGCCAGTCCCAGGCCGTCGTGTCGGCGCCGGCGGCCGTGTCGACGCCGGCGACCGTCTTGAGCCTGGGCGTCGACGCGCCCGTGGGCTCGTACTCGACGAGGTCGTCGAGGCGCGGGGCGCCGGCGGCTGAGCTGGGGAGGGGCTTGTAGGTGATGCGGACGTTGCGGGCTGTGCGCCACATGGTGAGGGTTGAGTGCGTTACGGTCCAGGTGCGGTGGAGCCAGTCGAGCGTTGGTGGACTAGGGGAGGAGGAGGACTGCGCGGGTGTGGTTGAGCTGGTGTATTTGGAGGGCGAGCGGAGCGTGATGCTTGATGGAGTGGCCGCCATGATGACGAGTGGCGTGACGGTCCCGTCTTGAAGGGCAATGGTGTGATGGTGTGGCTGCTGTTTCCAGATGCTGAGAGAGCTCCTGAGAGATCCAGCTACCCAATAAGTAAGGTAGGGAAAAGGTGGGTATGATGATTGCGGGATGTCGAGGGGAGGAATCCGGGAAGTGAGCGACCACGTTTGGTGTCGTTGAAGCTGTTGAGACAACCCAGCGCTAGTTCGGGATCTTGGCATCCCGTTTCAGCGCCCAGGGGTCTCGGGGCCTGCGGTCCCTCACAGCTGTCCGCCGGCGAGCTGGCGCGCTGGGCCCTGCATCTTCTTGTGTCTCAGGGCCGCAAATGATGTCATTTCGTGCTTGGCTCATTTGCGCAGGGCCATGATGACTGCCGGTGAGCGCGAGATGGTGTGCAAGCAACGATCACGGAGAGATACAGTTATTCGACTTTGGGAGCAAAAGGGTAAGCTGCTGTCCATCATGTCTTTGGGTCCACTCAGTGAAGGGGAGAAGGAACCTGAGGCCTAGTCCGAGGGGGTACGGCTCGCTGTCGGGCACACTACTGCTGCTTGATGTTGTACGGTTCAAGAATCCGTTTGTGTGGTGGCATCGAGGGTACCAAAGGGCTCGAGCGAGTCACCAGATGTCACATTGCTTGAGTCTGAACAGAAAGGCTCCATGGAACGCCCGAAATCAATTTACTCCAGACAGAGGGTTACGCTCTGCTCATGGCATGAAGCGGCTGGTCCTCCCACGAGTGACTGAAACCGCACCATCTGCCCACCTTGCATCTCCCGGGCCAGAATTAGGAAAAGGAAAAGAAAAACGCCGTCGAAGCCCTATGCGCCCTTGCTCCATCCCGGTGGCGGCGGTGGTATCTCTAGAATATGATCCGCTTCTCGGCTCCGGAGAAGCATGTCAGCTATGTGCTGTGTGTGTGTGTATGTATGTGTATGTCTGCTTTGCCCCTTATGCATGCTAGCAGCGCCCTCTCCGACATTTGTTGGAACGAGACCCTTAACGCCGGCAGTACCCAAGAACTCCAAGAGAAAAGAAAATTAACAAAGACAAGGTGCCATGAAAGCCAAAAAATAAGTATTCGATCAGTGTGACCGGTGACCGTTGATGTGTTCAGTTATAATGTCGAATTCGACTCCCCACTGGCTGTGCTTGGCCTCTCCAGCTCGGCGTCAACCTCAGCCGGAGACTCGAGCGGGGTGAGAACTTCTTTCGCTTTGCCCTTTTGGATGGGCTGGAAGGTGATGCGGAGCTTTTCGTCCAACATGGACGCGAGACGCTCTTCGTATTGGTCAAGCAGGCCGCTGATGACAGACTCATCCATGGCTTTGCTCCTAATAGCCCTGTCTCCGAGTGCGGCTGCGGTGAGACGCAGCTCCGTGTCCAGTTCCGAGAGCACTTCGTGACCTATCGGCTCTGTCGAAGCGAGCTTCTTGCGGTATGCCCGTAATGTGCGGCACGTCTGCTCTGTTGCCATGTTGAGCGACCCAAAGCCACCCCCGCTGCTGCCCCGGAGACTCGGCGAGCTTTTCTTACGGGAGCTCACGCTAAGAGCTGGAAGGGAAGGGCGTCTCGTCACCCGAGGGGCCTTGGGGCTGATGGGCGGGCTGCTGGACCTGTCGCCAGAGGATGGCCGACGAGAAGGAGTGTCCTCGGCAATGGTAGCAGCGGCGCTACTCTGCGCAAGGCCCTTCGGCGTGCTGGTGTTGTGTACGGACAGGCCGTACTTGGAAGAACGTCTCTGAACCGTTCGTGGTGGAGAACGACGCCCACCCAACGGCGACGGGCGCGAAAACTCGGCAAGCTCTGCCTTGGATAAGACGCGCCGAAGTGGAGGACGTGAGGATGCAGCTTCGAGCTTGACCGGCGATGGATCCCTACTCATCGACACGGGCGAAGGCTCCTGCAGATCCATAGTCCACAGCATCATGGTTCCGTCTGATCCCACGCTGATGATGCTTTGTCCTCCATCATCGTCCTCGACAAGAGCAACGCCGTTGATTGCCTCGGTGTGTCCCCATTCGCGGTCGAGGAAATAGCCAGTCTGGGTGTCGTAGAGTCTGACCGACTTGTCCGTGTTGGAAAGCCCAAGGATGAACCCCGTCTCCTTACCGGGGCATGTTCCCGCAACCAAGGAGTCAAGGATGGCGGCCTCAACACCTCCTTCATCGACGCAACGGAAGGATGAAACTTGCTTGCCGCTGCTCAAGTCGTACTGGCAGACAGAACGATCAAGCATGGCGACAAAGGCAGTCTTATCCCCAGGCCCGAGCACGATGGAGGTAGGCGATGCCTTCAGAGCAATGTTTCGTGTGTTGAGGGCAGCGATGGCGTCCGGGTTGTCGTCTTTACTGACGATATCGTAGATCTGCATGGACCGGTCCAGAGAGCAAGTAATTATCCGGCTTTCTGACGGCATAACAACCTTGACAACCTTGGCAGGAGAATCGAGAGTTTGCATGTGCTCAATCGTTCCAGCTGACGATCGGAGGAAGAGCTGGACAGTCCGATCCCTAGCGTAGGATGCCAACAGGACTCTTGAGTCGTCTTCGTGCAGGGCGACGCCCAGACAATCTGCCGAGTGAGCTTTTGTTTCCAGGAGAAACTCATTTGTTGTCAAGTCGATGACTCTGAGCACACCAAGCTTGTCGCCGGCAATAAGCAGCTTGCCAGCCTTGGTCGTGCGAACAACACTCAGCTGATTAACAGGGTCGCCCTCTTCCTCGGGAATGGTCTGCTCGATAGGCACATCAAAGGAAGCCTTGATTTTTCCGTCCATGTCCCAGAACAGCACGCTTCCCGAACCGGACCAGGTGAGAAAGGCTGCATTTTGGTGATTGGGCCTGGGCAACGACTGAATACCCAATATTTGATTGCCGTGACCAGGGATCTGGATGTGTGACAGGTCCTCCTCCGTCTGGCCCGGGAGGTAACTAGAACTCCAAACGTCAATATGGTGCTTCTTGTCAATGGTGACCATATTTTCAATCAAGAAACCCATGGCCACTAAGCCGGTCGGTGATTGGCTTTTGGTCAACACACAGTCTGTCAGACAGTCGAGGACCGAGCGAACGCTGAGAGTAGCAAACTGGCCGGCCTTGCCGCCGACGTAAGCAGTAGCATGTCGGATGGTGATGGAGCGGATCGGAAAGCCGAGGTTGACGCAGCCCATCAGCTTCATTTGCTTCCCATCGTCGTCGACTATGCAGACGTCGCCTCCTTCAGAGCAGATGATGATTTTGTTGTCGTCCACCACGGCGGCACACGTAAATGTTTCCTCGAGGAGTGGCCCCAGCAAGACGTTTCGGCCCGGTAACGTCCTCCGCGACGAGGGAGAGGCTGTCGACCCTTCTCCGGAAAACTTCTGCTTCGTCGGAGAGACTGAAGATCCTTCGTCGACCTTCCAGACCTTGATGTGACGAACGCCGAGAGTCACAAGGCTGTTCCCCATCCAGACCATTCCCCTGATATTCGAGGTGCACCTGTTCTGCTGGTGAAGCTTGGCTGCCCCAGTCCTGGTGTCAATCTTCCATAGATAGAGAAAGCCATCGTTGGCGGCACCGAGAGAGGCGAGCCAGCGGGTGTCGGCGGACCAAGCTACGGCCTTGACGCCGAAGCCGTGCTCGCTGATGGAGACGAGAGGAACGTCGGAGGAGCTGTCCTCGAGACTAAAGATGAGGACGCGGGGGGCATAACCGGTTTCGCCAACGGCCAGGTATTTGCCGTCGCGGCTTAGGGCAAGACATGTGGCGGCCTTGATTCGCTCGCGGCTGGTCCAGGTCCGCGATGTGGGAGATTCCGACCAGTCAAGGGTTCCGTAGGAGGAGTCGCGAATACCCAGGGCCACGCGGTTCCTACTGTCGTTGGCCTTGGGTGTGGATGTTGGTGTGGAGGGAGCGTAAGAAGAGGAAGAAGTGCTGTAGATGGGCAGTGTTGTCGGCCGTGCTCGGTAGAAACGCTGCGAGTATTGCTCGCCATCGACATCAACGACAACGACGGCACCGCCGGCGATGTAGGCGAAGGAGGACTGAACAGTGTCGAAGCCGGTGGGCGAGGCACACGTGGTGCCGATGACCCTTTTCAGCGCAAGTCGGGACTCATGATACTGGCGGCCGCGCAGAGGGGAGCGCGAGGGGCGCTGGAGGAAAGGCGAATTGGAGGGGGTCAATCTGAGGCGGTTCGTGGGTGTTGCGTGCATCATGTCGCCATTGAGTGCTCCGGGGCGAGGCAATTGGCGGATAGGATTGGTGGTCGACGTGTTGTCGAGCTCGAGGCACAAAAGATAAGCGACAAGTCGATCAAGATGGCGTCGCCGGGGTAGTTGTAACGAACAAAACGAGAGGTCGGTCGGCTAAGTGGGCAAGCGTAGCTGGTCGAGAACAAAGACAGTGAGGGCGGTGTAAGTCAAAGAGCCGCCTGCCCAATAGGATGTAAAGCTGCCAAACCAGACGCAATCGTTAGCATCCATCAAACGAGTGGAATTCTGCTGGGGCGGTCGATAACTTACAGCGACATCAAGAGATTTCAAATCCCTGGTGTAAATTTTGCAGCTATCGCGACCAAAGAGTGAGGCCGAGCGTTTGGTGGTGAAAAGGTCACGGATCACTGAAGCAGGCGCTCCCAGGCAGAAAAAGAGAGATGGTAGGCAGGTGGAGGAGGTGTGGCAGGGTGACGACAGGGGCCCTGTCCATGGACAGCTCGCTGTTGGTCCACCGTCGAGGTCGGATGCACGGGGCGCACAGGGCAGCTCCACTGTAGGTGTCCTTGGGGGTGCAACGCCAGTGCAACGCTTGCCAGGGTTGACCTAGAAACCCAGCTCTCCAACAAGCACAGGCCAATCACTGCAGTGCGCCTCAGCGACCTAAGAGCTAAGGGGCCCCCCTCTCGGCAGGCTACTGGTCGTTCTGACAACCACTCTTCAGTTACATGCGGCCACCCAAACAAATGCTGCGAGGCACCTCGTCACAGGAAGACTTTGGTCTCGCGAGACGACAGAGGGAAGGGTCAACTTCAAGGCGACTTGTCATGCCGTTCGAGTCGGTATCAGTCATGAATACTCCCTGCGATTCAGTTGACGAGCGCGACTGGCCCCCTTTTTAGTCTTCTTCCCCTGCTCGGCTACCAGACTGTCCCAAAGCGAACACGCGTAAGATGAGCTATTGCTGGGGACCCTGGCAACGTGATGAAAATCGCTGGCCCATGCTTCGCTGTGCAAGGTCGATACTTCGGCACTCCGACGCGACGCCCCGAAACAGGCACTCGTCTCTGCGGCTGACCCGTACCATTCTGTCCGCGCTGATAACGATCATCTCAGTTCGAGTATACCTAGCCTTGGGACTAACCCCACACCGTTGCGTCCTGCTGCCTCGACCGTCTCACCGACCAGATTTGACGGGTACGCTGCCCCGAGACGAGACACTTGGAGATTTGGTACACTGCTATTTAAGGGGCACCGAAGTAGTGATGTGGTGGTACATGTTGCACAGGCATTGCTGATCTTACACGCCGACAGCCCGCTGCGGCACACCCCCCTTTGGCTGAGACAAGAGCCGCCGACCCGGAACTCACAGGAACCCCCCGCCCATCTTCCGCTGCAGCCTCGCGCCCGCAGCCTCCTTGGCCTCCTCCTCCTTGCGCCGCGCAATGGCGGCCTGCCTCTTCTCGTGGTACGTCGGGTCACGCGTCACGCCCTCGGCCCGCCACTTCTGCGGCGGCTTCATGCCGAGCTCCGCGTAGCGCGCCCACACATCCTTGCCGCGCCGGAACCACCGCGTCTGCCGCTCCTCCTCCTCCTGCGGCGACGGCTGCCACTTGCTCTTGAGGATGCGCCGCACCGCCTCGGGCGAGATCTCAAACTTCTCCACAAGCCTGGCCGTCGTGTACTCCTCGGGGAACTGCGCGTGCAGCGCGCGGATGCCCGCCACGGCGTCGGGCGACAGCCGCTTCATCGGACGCCAGCCCTCGGGGAACTTCTTCTTGAGGGCGTCTTTCTGGAGCTGCCAGTTTTCGCGGCGGTGTTGCGGCGGGGGCGCCTGCGCTGGGTCGGCCTCGTTCGCGCCCGCCGCTCTCTTTGCGCCAGAGGACGGCTTGTTCGATGGTGCCATGGAGCCTTCGGTCAATTTTGTTTTGCCCTCCGTCTCGAACCCTCCTGCCTTTCTTGATTTTCGTTTGGGTTTGACGGATCTGGGTTTTGGCGAGCCCTGGGAGGTGTCCTTCGCATCGGCGGACGGTTCTATCGTCCACGTCAAGTCGCTCGTGCTGTCCGAGGACGTAGGCGCTGCTGATGAGGAAGGGTCATCGGCTTGGTTCGTGGCGACGGCCTGTCCATCCTCCGCCGGCTTCTCCGCAGCATCGCTTCTGGAAAGGGGGGTCGTCGAGAAGGCAACTCGCCAAGCAGACGAGGATTGCAGTGTCGGGGCTCGTTGAAAATTGCGCGGCGCGAGGAAACCGGCGTTGTGGACTTGAGTGAGCCCCCGCACGAAGAGTTGTAAAGACGATATGCGGCATGCACAAGCCATGTTGGATGATGCCGTTGTTGGTCGTGATGAGTGGAAGACGACTTTCTTCAGACGGCCAAAAAAAAAGTCGACTCGCATGACAGGTGTATGATCGGGGGTCGGATCGGGGTCGGAGCTTGAGACTACCGCTCATGGTCCGTGCTTCTGAGTCAGTGGTGTACCAAGCCTCACCACAATCGAGGTAGCTAAGGTAAGGTACCTACCTACCTAACGATTGGTGTGACCGGGGACGAAGAAGTGACCGCAACTGACTGTCTATGATGTAGATTGTTGAAACTCAATAGAAACTGTTCAGAGACGCTAGATAATGCTGACCTGACTTATGTAGGTAGGTACGATATGTTCAAATTCACTTTCTGCCGTCTTTCACCCATGTGATGATGGTTTATACAGCGTAATATGGACGCTCCAGTGCTGCAACGGACGCTTACCGCATGATGCCCCCAGAACCCTCGCTACCCGACCAATGCCAACAGGGAACCCTGAGTTAGACTGCAAGGCCCTCTTCTGACGCTTCGTCCCTTTCCAGCTTTTCGAGGCCCGTAGCGAAAGCGCCATACACGCGCAACGGAACCGCAACCTCGAAGCTCTCACAGGCCAGGTTCTCCACTGCAACAAGAACGAGGCCCCCACGCTCATCACGCGATATCTCCTCAAGAAGTGGGTGGTTGCGACTTGGGTTCGTGTTACCACTTGCGGCGCTGTTTCCTACCAGAGGCGCGCTGGCGTCTTCAGACTCGGGCTCCGCAACGGGAGTCTTTTTGGTCTGTTGGGTGGTAGCGCTAGGCACAACAAACTCGACACGGATCTTCCACTCGAGAGCGACACCCGATGTCACGAACTCTGGGGTAGCGTTGATGGGAATGGTTGGCGTGAAGACGAGTCTGCGGCCGTAGAGTGCTGTATCAGAGGAAGATGCATACACCTTGCGTGTGACGCGATGGACCGAAGCCTCCGACCGGAGGGCAAGTTGCGAATCAGCAATTCGTTCAGCCGATTCGAGCGCACAGTGGAGAGCGTAGCAAGGCACGTCGGCGTTGGAGAAATCGACCACCATAGTCACCGCCTCGCCGATGCGATATGCAGCCCTCGTAAGTGTCACAACGCCGACGCGCTGACCATTTCGCGCAATCTCAAAGCGGTTGGGGCTTTGCCCGCCCTCAGATGCGTGGGTGCTGCGAAGGATGGCAAGATTGATAGCGTCCTTGGCCGTTGTTGCGTCTTCATACGCTGACGGTCGCCTGGAGCTTGGCACAGCCGTCGGAGAGAGTAGTCCTGTATGGCTGCCGTAGCGTGGTCTGTTCAATAAGTCGTCGACATATGTGATGAAATCGTTTAGAGAAGATTCAGGTCTCGTCGATTGAGCTTTGTTTCGGTTACTTGGTGTTATTTTATCAAGGGGTGTAATGACTGCTTGGTCGCGCAGGATGACATAAGGGTTCATAAGATCGTAACCTAGAATCTCGCCGTGGCTGTTGACGCCGCCCAGCACCCTAAAGGGTACCTCAACCTTGCGTATCTGTTGCTCTTTAGTGCCGCCAGCCCTCTGTGTGCCGATGACGAGCGTGTATGAAATCTTAACGGCCTTGCCCTTGTGGGATGGCGGCAGGCCTCTGGGCAATTGGAAGGCGTATTCAAAGGCCTTGCTCTCCCCTGGCGCGAGCTGCATGTCAACGAACAGGATAGATTGCGGCGTAGAGAGGAGCGGCACAGACTTGGAGCTCGCGATGCCACGCATGTCTTTCATGCTGCTGAGCTCACCGGTCCCGAGAAGGTCGCCAAGGGAGCTGCTTATGCTCCCCCATCCGAAGCTGCGAAGAAGACCGCTGTCGCGCCTGGAAGAAGTCTCGACGCCAATCACGCCGCCCCCCTGTCCACCAAGAACAGCTTTTCGCTTAACTTGCTCAAAAGGCGCCAGGTTGATGAGTGAACCGTCCAGGGTGAAGGAACCTTGAACCTGAGCATATGCCATCATGATGGTCTCGGGTCCTTTCGGTTGTTGTTGTTGTTGTTGTTGTTGTTGTGAGCTGAAATTGGAACTTCGTCTGAGATATGACGGCCTTGGCTGGTGCTGACCACGGAGCGGTTGCTGGTGGGCGGGGTACTCTGAGATGAGCGTTTCCGATGAGTGATTGCTCGCCGCGTAGAACTCCCCGCTACTTCTTGGTGTCCCTCCCATGCTTGTCGACGAAAGGATTCGCATTGCTGGGGTGGTCGCATGCATGTGTGCGTGGTCAGGAGCCCCATGGGAGCTGTCCTTCGTCCGGAATGCCGATATTGATTCGTTCTTGGGGCTCAGAAAGCTGTCGTCAGTGGGATTCAATGGGCTGTTGTGAGACTCGGATAATGGCGAGGGCGCCATGGGAAACTTGAATTCGGGCATATTACTAGAAGGTGACCGTGACAGTCGGAAAGGGCCGCCGATGGCGGGAGTATTTGGCAAGGTTGATGGACCTGGAGACCGGGGGTGTCGATCGGACATATGTGTAGATTTGAACATCGGAGAGCTGACCTGCCGTGGTGATGCTGTCAAGTGGTCAGGCGTTTGTTCACTGACAACAATGGGAGGAAGCAATACCTGACGGAGGTCCAGAGATCCCGAGGCCAGCCCGGGGCATAATGTGCAAGCTGTGAGCCCGCGCATGCCCCCTCCCGGGCCTCTGTGCCCTGGCGAACAACGCGTTGCTTTGCGCATCATCAGGAGCTGTGTTGGCCGATCCAATGGAGACGATGGAGATGGACCGTCGATGAGTGTTGCCCTGGTCGTCGCTAGATTTTGGAGGATGCGGTGGGGGTTGTGGCCATACAATCGAGCCAGAACGGCTCCTTGAGAAGGCGGCCGGTGCACTCAGGGAAAGGGTAGAACGGTGGCCGCGAGAGGGACCAGCAGTTGACGGGGTCGGTGGGGTCGAGCCGGTGATGGGCTTCCCACGATGCAGCGGGGTGGCATATCTGGGACGATCGGCGACGTTTGCCTGCCGTTGGGTCTGCTTATGTTGACTGGGATCGGCAGCAACGTTCTTGAAGGTGATGGTGCACTTGATCTCCTCGCCAGCAAAGACAGTCTGGTCGTCCCAGCGAATGAAGACGCGGATGTTGCTGGAGCTGTCCGAGACCATTGTGGCGCGCGTTGGGTCTTGCCGAGGACAATGAGGAGAGATCGGAAGGATATCGATCAGCTAGGTCCTATGGCATGGCCAGCTTGCACCATTGTCGCCGTTGGTTGTTTGGGGTTGGTACAAGGCGTCCTCGTGGTTGATGAGAGCTGGAGCGAACGTCATGCTCCAAGGTGACAGGTCGAGGTTGAGGCTTCGAGAGACGTAGTGACTGGCTGGGGGCGGAGGGTAGCGGAGCCCAGCCAGTTGCAAGGGTTCCTAGGCCGAGACCAGCTTAGTTCACGTTCTCAGGGGCATCGATGACTCAGCTACCTAGGTAGGCTGACTGCATCGGGAGCACAGCATACATGGAACAAGCAGTATCACGAACCGCTCATCATCCTTTGGAAGTGATTTTCCGTCATTTTCACGGTACCAGAATCGGCATCAACAGTGTTTCTACGCCTCGCGAGAACTGCACAACCAACGCGTCGAGCACATGGCCACCGCCGGGCCCTACTAAGCAACCCTGGCTTCCGACACTTGTAACTCAGGGCAGACAGCTACTGAGACAGCGCTTTGTACACTTCGACCTCAATCTGAGCCCACAAGTTGAGGACTGGGCCATCAGCAAACGGAAGAATCTGAGTGCAAACAAATCCTGCCACCCCTCTCTCCCTATCACACCACCACCAGAGGTTGGCAAGGCCAGCCCACTGCACAGTTGTTGACGATCGACCAGTGGCGCTGCTGTTTGGTTGCATGAAAGTCAACCCCCAACCCTGTGGTGCATTATCCTGGATAGGGTAGAGTTCTGAGACCGGGTTCGTGAGATCGGGTTTCGACGCGGGAATGCCTTGTCGAGCGTAGTCGGGGAATGAGGAGACCTGGTTCCGGAACATCTCATCAACCGTTTCTTTTACGGAGTATCTGGGAGCCGGTTATGGGGCAGGTCCCATTATTGAGGAGAACAGCGAGAACCTCTGGCAAGAAAAGTCAGCCGTCAGGTGCAAGGCCAGTCTATTGCGCAAGAGGCGAGTAACAGCGGATTTTTCAAGCGCTTACTGGTGTATTCTTGAGGCTTCGCAAACAGACCAGCGCCGCCACTGTTGAAGACTGACGCTATCTCTTTTTCGTTGTCCAAGTCCACCACGAGTGGGCGGCGCAGCAGGTGATCTCTAGGTCGAAGGGTGCCGTCCGGATCTCGTGCATGCATGTGTGCCAACTTGGCCCGCATGTCTTCGTTTGGAAACATCGATATGTTATTCAGGCCAAGTGGCTGAAACACATGCCTCTGTAGGTAGTTGTTCAGAGTATCCCCTGTGCGGCGTTCAAGGGCGATACCAGCCCAGTCGATACCGACCTGGGCATTGGTCAGAGTGACTACCTAGGGAAAGGGGTCTAGGCACGAAGGGGATCAACAACTTACACCATACTCCCATCCCTCTCCTGGCTGGAACAAGAGCGGCTGCGTGACATCCTCTATGCGGCCCGAGAACTCGTCAATTCCTGCGGGGAAAGACCAGTCTCTCAGCCTTTCGTTAAAGAATGTGTAGCCGAAGCCTGCGGTATGGCTCAAAAGCATACGTAAGGTAATGCGGTTCTTCTTGTCCTCCAGCACACCGTTAGATCTCAGAACCTTGAGGTCCTTCAACTCGGGACAGAGATTTTCGATTTGATCTCCATCATCCAGTGAGAAGAGACCTTGTTCCACCAGTTGCATACACGCCACACCTGTCAGCATTTTGGTGCATGAGGCTATCCAGAAGATGTTATCAAGAGTCATGGGCTGCTCGGACGTGATTCCCTGTTTGCCAGCCGAATGTGCAAAGAGATCCTTTCCATCCCTGCCAACAACAACGACTGTAACCCCAGGGATGCCTTTCTTCTGATCGGCTACCGAAACATCCACTAAGGCTCGAAGCCGGTCGAGAGACTGGTCGCTCAGGGGCATTGCGAAGTCGGTGTCCTTGGGGATAGAGAAAAAGGGCAGTATGGAGGCCACGGGCCGATATTCTCTGATAAGAGTACCAGGGCGTTCTTCCCTCCCAAGGAGGTTCCGATCACTGGTCTTGTGCTGCGCGTGGGAACTGTGAGGCTTGGGCAGCATTGGACATCAGCCGGAGGGCATGGCCATACTTTAAGCATGTCGGGTCAGAGGAAACACTGGTCAACTGACGCATGGATTCCAAATCGGCGTTACCAATTGTGTCATTGCCGCCCAATCGAGGAAGCGAACGATCAGCAGACATCAAGATGAGGGGCAGGATTGTCTCATCCACTGAACCTTGGGCTCAAATGCTGGGGTTTGCGGGGCGACCACATGGAGCTTGGACATCGCGTAAAATCACTAATCCCTTTCGGCTTGGTTGACAAGCCACCGGCCGGACAAACGGCAGCAGGCCACATACCGTCCGTATGACCAGAACCTTCGGTAGTTGAATGCTCCAGAAGACCATCAGAATGGGCCATAAAAGTCGGCATCGCGCTGCTCTGCCTCGGCGATTGCTGCATACCGTACCTCGAGGTACTGTAGACTAACCGCCGATCTTCTGGCACAATGACCCACACCAGACTTCCGTTGACTTTGATGTGTGGAACACAAAAAGAAGCTTGTCATGTTTGTACGGGTGGCTGGAGGCTCTGTGCACGTGGCCCTCTTCTTTGCTTGATGTGGTCTGTAGGGCGGGCTACATCAATACCGGACAGAAGCAGTATAGAACGACAGGAAGATCGTGAGAATTTGCTTACGACATGCCGAGCCTGGAAAGCTACCTCGACGTCCAACACCCATATGAGGTTCCCAAAGAGAAAATATGCAAAATTCATCCAGTCGTCTAACCTCTGACGCAGGTAAGTTGGGTACCTAGATAGGTGCGAAACAGGGCAGGTGTACTGAGCACGTATTTGGTTCATATGAGGTACCTAAGGTAAGGTAGGTACATATAGGTGGTAGGTACATAGGCAGGTACAGCGAGCTGCCTATCTGAGCTTCTGGGAAGGAACCACCAGAAGCTGCTGCCTTCGAGCTCTTTCACCTGGCATCTGGAAGACAGCTTCTGCAGCCTAGGTACCTAGTTTCTGTGCCTTCAGACTTGCAAGGTCCACCTAACGAACCTCAACCTTGGGTTTCTCGGCACATAACCTACTACAAGGGATTGTTCCTCTCTCTTGCTTGTTCTCTACTGCCGCATTAACTCTGAGCCACGCATCTTTGGACATCCAAGTCTCCCTCTGCAAGATTCGAATCAGTTCCTGATGCCCAAGTTCTCTTACACGTTGTGAACGCGAATCAGACGACAAGATGAGACACCAAGAGTTACCGAGCATCAATGTTGCTGTTCGTAAGTGGCGAGACAACAGTGCCCTCAACAACTTCATGAGCTGATGAAACATACCCTCAGGTCTTATGGGGGACTATGGAGATGCCTACGAGTACCCTGACCCCAGCCCCCACCTCGGTTACAAAGGGTCGACCGATGGCCGCGCGCAGCGAGAGATGTCCACCTTCATCGAAAGCAAGGACGACAATGGCTTCGAGATTGTCATTTCAGTGGATGATGATCCTTCCCTGGACGAGTGGATTTATGATGAATTCTGCCTAGAATTTCAACTTCTCGTCGATGGCAGTCACATGGGCAAGCGAAACGTGAAGGCTTGCAACCTGCGTCGCAACGGTAGAAGCTACACATATACTACACAGTTCATTGGCGCGAAAGGACCCGGGCGTGACCCTTACCAGAAAGAGCTTCGAAGGTTTGTGTTCTCGTCGCTCGCCACCGGTAAGTGTAGCCGCACCATCCTCAAGTTGGTGACTTCCAGACCTGACCTGTATTTAGTCATCGATGAGACATCCCCTGAAGAAATCGCTCTGTCAAAGGCGCTTGGGACCATTGAGATAGTTGTTCGGTGGGTGGAATTTACAGGTTTTGTCTCCAGTACCAGAGACCGACAGCAAGACGGTCGCGACAACACGTATAAGCAGACGGATCACAGGATGAGTACCAGCGGGTATCCATATTCCGAGATCTCCGAAGAAGCTCTGAAAGGAAGAGCACTCTCGCACAGCACATCGTCAGTGGCATTGTCTTGCTGGACAGTCTTTCGTTGCTAAAGACTTCATAGCTATGCCATAACGGAGGACATTACTGGCCATGGGGGTGGAAGGCGTCCTCGGACTCGGATCGTGGATCGTGGCCGCCCGGTGGTGTCTTACCTATTCAAGTACCGCTCTATGGGTAAGTTGCAACACGACATCCATGAAGCTTCAATTGACTCTTTTCCCCCTAGAGGGCCTCAAACAGGAAGGAGTCGTGCAACGAACTCCTCCCCCCGACTACGATGACGCAGTTCCGAAGATGGAGTCACTACCACAGCACGAAATTGAACGTCTAGCTCGCGTAAAGCTGATACAGATGAAGGTTTGTCAGGGGGGAATAGACCAGGTCAAGCACAAAAGCCTGCTGAACAATACTGACTGGCATTCCAGCGAGACCATGATAGACAACGCGAGCCCCTGACGAATTTGGGGACTAACGAGGCGGCGCGGCGCAGCGGCAAACGTCACATTGACGACGTATACAGTCTGAATGAGGAGGTTGAAGGAGGTCGACCTAAAAAGATCTTTCGCATGGACCCCTCGATACCTGTCATTGACTTGACCGACGAGTGAAGGCGGCCACCAGACTATGTTGTTTTCTTCGACAGGTGTGTGCAACGAGCAATTGTATTCGCCAAAAAATAATGACGTCGGACACCTAAGCTAACAGAAAACAAGCACTGTGAGAATTTTAGTGTTGTATTCGGGTCGGCTTGGCTTTTTACAGTCTTCCTCGGCCCCGGGGCCTACCATGGCTTCGATGCGTTCTTTTTTTTCGGAGTTTTTTTCAAAGAGTGTGCGGCAAGAGGAATTCCATCACAAGACGATGGAAGATGTTGAGATACCATCGAATCAGGCGTTTGAAGATGTTCACAGGGTTGCTTGAGGCCAGAGGGGACATGCTATTCATGTGATGCCTACCTACAAGCAACGCTTCGTGTGCCGTTCTTCACGATGCAGGTAGGGGGGAGTAGGGGATAAGTGCAAGAATGCTGGTCGCGATGACCGCGGCTCAAAAACTATAACCAATCGTCTATATGTGCTGCATGATGGCTGCTTGGCTTCTACCTCAGGTAATGTGAACCCTCCCATTCAAAGCTGCGAGAGTGTGTGAGCCGGGTTTGTTGACGTTGCTGCGTAATTGTTCCTACGTCGTTGATGGCAGATGCTCGCAGCGACAAGTGCGTTGTTGAGGCTCTAGAGACGTCCAAGACATGATTGGCTGTCACAGAATGGCATGACCGCCATGTACAATGCCCGGACATCCTGTGGCATTGCCATGCTGATTCGCTGCACATCTGACAATGTACCAGTGAAGTCCAGGCCATCTTGGACCACAGCGCCCAGAAGGCGATTGTTGGTGGTTTGTGTACTGCGACTGAGGGATGTGCGGGTGCCTTATCTATCCGGCTTCCCTCTTACCTACGTACCTAGGTACCTATGTGGTGCGCTGATCAGGTCTCCCTGGTACCTAGTTACCTACCTTACCTTAGGTGTACTGTACACACAGCACTGAGCGAAGACGTTGTTGGTTGCCTGGCCGCACGGTGAGGGGCGCCTGAGAACCCCGCCCATCAAAAACGTGGTGCCCAAGGTGCGTCTTGGATGACAGGTTATACTTACCTTAAAGAAGCCTACGGTTCCTCATCAGCGCTTGTCAATTACGTCCTTCTCGTTCCGCCTTGCCGTATCCACCGCTGAGATACTTCGAGATCATTCAGACGACCAAAGACTTGGAATCACACGTTGGGACCATGCCCATCGATCGTGAGGTCCCAGGCATCGACGCCTGGGTCGAAGTCAACGGCCAGAGAGCAGAGGCTTACAACGACGACGACGTGTCCTCCCGGGAAGTGAACGACATGCCGGCTAGATACCAGGTCTTCAAGTACATCGAATCCATCGATAATGCATCCTTCACCGTTCAGGCCCATCTGAGTAGAGAGGTCACCCAGCATGCTCCACCGCCGTGCGACACTGTCATCGGGGAGCTCTTCGTAGACGGAAAACATGTTGCTTCCAAGTGCTCCTCAGTTCGGCCAGGCCGGGCACCTATTGACAGGCTCCAGTTTGACGGCAAGAAAGTCGAGTCGCGCTCTCGTCCTGGATATGTCCATCTTCTCAAGCTGGTCTTCTCTGCCGTGTCGACAGGTATGTGACGAACTCCACTGTTGCCACACCCGTGATGGGGCCCTCGCCTGGCGGTCAGGGCGGCCGCGTCGATGCCGTCCTTTTCGAGACTAATTCAGCTCCAGTGGACGACACGGATACGGCGCGCATTGCGAGTGACCTTGAGGCAGCGAAGCATTTGGGACTCATACAGCTTCGCTTCTTCACTGGTGTCGACATAGGCCATACGATGGCGCAGAGGCCTGATTCAACGATTCCTACCAGTACGTCGGAGCTGGCTGAGAAATCCCTAAAGGGCAAAGCCATCTCCCATGGCACGTCGTGAGTCTTTTCAACGCATGTTTCAGCGAACTGAGGACTGAGATTTGGGAGATTCTCTCACGGGGCGGATTTGCCGGCGAGCCGCCATGTCATGGTCGACTATGTGCTCGGCCGTCAACCCTTTGCTGTGATCAACTTCAAATATCGATCTCGAAGTGGGTATCTCCACGACACAGGACATTGGAACTTTAAACGTCGCTGACATGGGATCAAGGGGCTCTTCAGCAGGAGTTGATCCTTCCCCGCACTCCATCACCCGATCCAGAACTGCAAGTTCTCGAGGGCATGTCGACCGAGCAGGTCAGGCGGTTAGCAGCTGAACATCTCCACTCATTACATGTAAGTCTCATCGACGACTTACTTATCTGCACAAATGACGGAGCCTCCTGCGTTGTCTTGGGGAGCATCGCATGCCAAGCAGTAAGCTGACGTGGCACAGGAGCCGACCCAAGTCAAAGAAGAGAACCAAGCTGTGGCGAAGACCGAGAAAAAGCCCTCCGTCAAGCGTGAGAGGGATGAAGTCGACCTGACCATGCCGCCATCCCAGCGCGAGTGGAAATATACCAGAACAGCGAACGGGGCGAGGGCAGTGGACCTCACCGAAGATGACGACTAGACAATCATGTTCAAGTTTGTCTTGTCTTGATGTGTGCTTTGATGATACTTCTAAAGATTTTGTAAGGCGTTTTCTTTTCGGTATACCCACAGCAGTAGCGATCTCTTCAGCTTACCGCGAGTTAACGTTGCGTGTACGGGCTGGTCTTTTCTGCTTGAATCAAGGGCGTCTATGTCATCGATGTACATGAGAGTAATCATCATCATTATCATCAAGTCAGAACCTAAGAACTCTGCCAATTTAGTGTTCTGCTACTTGTTTCGCGTCAGCCTGTTCATTCTTCAAGGTCTGTACCGCAACCTCTGCAGCCTTTGTCTCAACCTCATCTCGAGCGACCCCGTCATCCACCTCTGCAACACAGCGATCCCCGACCATGACCTTGCAGGCATATTTTCTTGTTGCACTTTGCAGGCCGGCTGCGTCCTCGGGCAAAGTGAGGAGATATTTGACTGTCCGGGGACCAGCGATCTCTCCCAGCTCTTGCTTCGGATGCAGCACATGAACGTCCTCCTTTGCCAGTCGGGAGAGCACAGGCAGAATGCCCAGTCGTTCCGCCACACGAATGCACGCGCCCATGTCGCCCGAATCGACCCAGACGGCACCCAGTACAGCTTCGACCATGTCGGAGAAGAACTTTGCGGGATGTAAACGGGCGAGAAGAGACCAGGGGTAGCTTGACCCATGTTCCAGAGCGTGCATGATCTGTCCTCGGAGATCGGCATGAACGCTGGCAGCTTTGGTCTGCTGCTGCACAACCTCTATTGAGGAGTGGCGCATAAACTTCCAAAGGGGGATTTTCCGGCGTGTCTGTTTGAGCTTCTGTTCCACCCCGGCGGAATTTTGAGGATTGAAGTCCGTATCGGAAGGAGAAAAATCGATATCAATGATCACCTCGTCTTCCTCGGCATGGCACTCGAGTGCAAGGAAGCCTAGAAGATCGCCGTTGACCGAAGCAGTCTTGAGGAGATGCATCCTGTCGTGCGAAAGGTTGAGGGGAAACAGATGGGACACCACAATGTCGTCCAGAATGGCATCGCCAAGAATTCAAGACGTTCGAGGCAGCCATTTACATGCCCGACAGTGAAGGAGGCATGTGTGATCGCTTCGATCAGGAGACTCTTCTTCGTAAACGTGTAGCCGATCAGGTCCTCCAGCGGAACAAGCATTGGCGGCAAAGGCACATCAGGGGACGCCAAACTGTAAAGGATCTCCTGGCAAGCTGGCAACGGTTTCCAATCGAGCTCCCTCAGGAAGATCGAAATGCACCCAAGTGCCTTTGGGAGGCCACCGTCAATGTATGCGGCCCCTATGAGTGCTTCCACAATATCGGCGAGCGTCTTCGTCGACATGATACGGGGTCCTGAGTCGCGAGCACCCTTTTCCATCATGTCGTTGACGTAGATAGGGCGCCACGTGCGACAAGTGAAGTTTTCAGTTAGAACAAATTTGTCAAGGCCAGCATCCAGTGCAGCCCTACACAATCTCGAGTTCGACACTAAGCCATCTTTCAGGCATGATAAGTAGCCCTCCGGCCAGTCAGAGTCTAAGCTAGTGTCAGCTGCGGCAACGTATGACAGAGTGCAAGGAGGGCGAACGCACGCAGAGCGGCGGCATTGGCCGTGGTGCAAAGCTTGAGGATAGAGTCACCCAAAAGCTCAAGGCGCTCGTAGTTTGTGGCTTCCAAGGAACCCTTAGTGCTAATGGCCGCCAGGACAAGAGAGGGATCTGAGAAATTGAGGTCACGAAGTAGGCTCGAGGAAAGCTGTTCTGCAACCAGTCGAACCTCGACAATGTGTGAAATGAAAGGGATCAACGCCCCAAAGTAAGCATGATCTAATGGAATCGTGTCGACTTTCGCCCACGGTGCCGGATAAACCCTAGCATATGGCTTCTTGTTTGTCGCCTGTGGCAGTAGATCGTTGACCTTCTGTTGGTGCAAGAGGGCCAGGTACCGCGGCCACTTTCTGAGAGCCAAGTAGGGGATGTTACTGGGTGCGTCTTGAAAGCCTGGAGAGTCCCCGATGCGCCGGAAAGGTCGTTGAACAAGTTCAAGTGACGGCTTGCCATTTAGAAAGTGGTCGTACACATACGGGCATCCTGACTCGTCCCGTACCAGGTACAGCATTTCCTCTCGGTCGGCATCTGCGGTTGTGAAACCCCGTGCACTTAATTGCCTGATATTCAGTTCGCCATCTTGTGAAGCGAAGCTGATAACCTGCTGCTGACCATGAGCAATAGACCAGTGATGGCCAAAGTGGAGTGCAAGCAGCACTGAAGTATGATCAGGCATTTCAAGATTCTCCTTTCGTTCTTGTGGGCCAAAATCCAGAAGCCATGGTCCTTCGCGATCGAAGTACACCGGCGTGGAAGGCAGTGCCGGCAATGCTACCGGCATTCTCATGATATACGTTCCTCGCGTCAATCCCGTCGCGTCTCGGAGGTGCACTGGAGTTAACCAGGTTTCAGTGCTCGTGATCCAGGCCTGGGCAATACCAAGCCAGACATTCAAGAGGCCATTGACCTGCAAGGTTGCTACTCGAGGTTCGTTTGCGGGTACGATATCTTTTACCGTGAGTGGAAGCATGTGTTCATTGACCAGTCCCGCTTTGTAAAGAGCCACGTATGCCTGAAAAGCGGCATCCTTTGAGGCCTGATGCTCCGACTTCCAGCTTCGACGACTCTCAGCATGGCGGACGGCAGCTGGAACATAGCTTGGCAACAGTACCGTGACCCTCAGAGATGGAGGTACTCCGTTGTCTACCACACGGGGTATGTATTCGGGCCTCTTGTCTATAAACTCCCCGGGAGAGAGCTGCCCACAAAAGTTGCTGAGATGCGCTTTGGCGTTCTCGAAGTCGAGTCTGGCATTAGTACTCTCGACAACGTACTCTTCGTACTTTGCAGACTCGGATGCTTCGATCTGCTCCATGATTTGTATTTCGCGCTGTTCTCTCTCGTAGTGTGTCCTCATTGTCGCTTCCATGCTTTCCCAGTCCTGAGGCACGTGGTCTGTCCCGGGGAGAAGAACCACGAGGCTAGAATCCTTCTTCCGGGCTCGGCCGCGCCGCTGGACAAAGGCTTTGAGATTCTCGGGCTCATCAAAACAGATCACGAGGTTGCAGGCAGGAACGTCGATGCCCTCTTCAAGCACACTCGTGGCGATGAGCAAATTGAGGTGGCCAGATCTGAACTGAAGAAGGGGCTCTGTCTCGTGGGCTGCTCGAGACAGATCCCACATGTCTTTCTTCCTTACCAGATGAGTGGAAGCACCAACAACAACCCCAACGCTCGAGTGCCTATTCTGTGTCAGTGGATGCGACTCAATCACGTGTGCAAGCATCGCCGCAGTTGATCGCTCTTTGACAAATATGATCCCGACAGTACCATCGGTAGCTTTAGATGACAAGTATTCCATGAGCACCATTACTTTGTTCGACGTGTTATGAGCACTCAACATGCTGACTGGCGGCTCGCTGATACTGATTTGTCGAAGGATGTTGGCCAGATACTGCTTTTCTTCGGTATTCCGTTGATTCATGCGGTGATCTCTTGCTTCAATGATTGCCAGAAAATCTGTAACAACCTTCCAAATGTAGTACTCGGCCGCCCAGGGCCCGAGATCTCGCAGGACTCGCAAGCTTTGATTGAAGAAAGACTTCATTTGCTGTTGCGAATCTGTTTTATGGCTTGTAAGGACCTTGATGAGCTCACGTCGTGCTCGATCAGTGCCTTTGTCTCTTAGACAGATAACGTATGGATCTTGCCTGATGTCCATATTTCTGCATGCTTCGCGAAGACTTGAAATGCTGACCGGCTTGGGCTCATCCTTAGCATCTGTCGTTTCGTAATGGACATAACAGACGGTGGGCCTTTTGACATGGGTCATTAAGTCATCTCGGTGCAATCTGGGCGTAACGCAAACCGAGTCCAGTGTCTGTTCCAGTGCCTCAAGGCCTTCGAGCCTAGATCGCATTATGGGGCTTGCGGTCAGTCCCAGGACGTGGGGAACAGATAGTGCCGATTGTTTGCGTGGATGATAGAAATTCATCATGATCATTCTCTCAGCGCTTTTACCCGTAGAGTGATGCGCTACACCGTTGTTAGGGCAAGAACACTTGATAAACTGCGCTGATTGAATACCTTCATCAAAGACAAGCAAGGATAATGAACCCATCTGGACAAAGCCGTGGCTCAAGGCATCGCAGAGAACTTGAGGGGTTGACACCACAATTTTGACGTTGAGAAGCACAGCGTTCCAAGTCTCTTGGTTGGACCATGAATCAACATTATCGCTGCCAAGAAGCAGCTTGGTCTGAACTGCAGGAATCTGAGACTGCAGTACAGAATGCTGCTGAGCGCAAAGCTCAACATTGTGAGCCACGAACCATACAAGCTAAAACCCTGTAAGTGATTGCGAAGCTACCAAGTGGAGTTTGTCAAACCTTGTCTGAAGCCCCTTCTTCTAGCTCTGCTCGAATTCGGAGGACGGCACTGGGAAAATCAGTATCAATAATCAGGTTCGGCTTGCAGGGAACGTACACTTGGGTCTTGCCACTGCCTGTGTCCATCTATGGAGGTGTCAATCGAGGTTGACTGGCGCAAGAGGGAAGGTTCGCACAGCTAGAATGATATTCCTCTTCCTACTTTCCGCCAGCATCTCCAACTGGTATGCCCGTGCATTGATTGTGACGTTACTCGACTGGCTCGGGGTGGCAGCAAGGGGGCCGATGTCGTCCTGAAGGCCATACGGTAGGGAGGTTGAGTCGCGTGATTCGGACGTTGGTTCTGGAGTCAAGTCATCGTCAATTGGACATCCGCTGCTCCGCAAAGAAGCGGAAAATGATTCCGAATCGTCAAGCATTGTGCTGTATCGCTACAGGTGCTGACAATATGAGGATGGTATTCCACGGTTTCCAAGCCACACGCGATTGCAGTCGTATTTGAGAGCGAATAAGCCGAGATGGGTCAATCAGGACACATAGCTCGGAATGGTTCAGCGGATGACCAGTCCCGTCTTATGTTTTAGCCAGTTATGATTCTTTGGCAGGACGCGTATGGGGGAGGTAATGGCGGTTGGAAGATGAAGAGGCAAGGCTGGTGACGATGATTTTGAGGGGCAGACAAATATCGTTGGCGCAGGCGATGGAGTGAGTGGCCTGCAGGAGGCCCACCAGATTCTGGCTGGCGAGACCAGCTCAGATAAGTAGGTATGCAAGAAATGGCTTCTCGGCCCCTGAGTGGCAGATCCTGGCGCATCGCAAACACTCAAATGAGAACTGCAATAGAATCATGACAATTCGACACCATGCAGGGTGCCGCGGACTTCACAAGCTGTCACGTCAGGCAAGGTAGGTAGGAAGGGAGGTAGGTACCTTAGCAAGCTTAGGTACCTAAGGGAGGTAGGTAAATAACTGGGCGGATACCTCACATTGCCGTTGGCAACGTACCTTGTTACCTAAGGTAGGTACCTCAAAGCTGTCAGGGCGACGAGGTTTCGCATGCACATTGTCAAGTCACACACCATCCAAGGAAGACAAACACTACAGGCGACAAAAAAATGCCGAAGATGCCAGTGTCTCCATGAGTCATCATGACAGAGTCTTTTGCATGAAGGCTAAAGAATCCCAAGCCCCCTCACATCCCTCTATTGCTGCTATGTTACACGGTGATGACGGTCATTATCCGCTATTGTGCATTCAAAGGTTCGTCAGATAATCCTCAATCTCCTGGGGTGTAAGCTTCCTGAAACGAGGACCAGTGGCGCCCTCAACGCCCTCAATTCCCAGCAGATGATCCGCTGGAGGACCAACGATGCCTGGCAGTTGTTAGTATATCGACTTCACCGAGGCCAATGCTGCTTGTACTCACCAATCTCGATCGTCTCGCCGCTCATTTCTCCCTCGATTGTCTCCTTGAGGGTCAGAAGGGCAATGTGCACTGCGTCTTCGAGTTCCAGCCCCTCTGTGTACCGCTTCTCGAGGAACGTCTTCGCCGACGTCGCACTCTTGCCAATGGCAGTCGCCTTCCAAGGGAAGTAGCTGCCAGACGGGTCAACCTGGTACAGCATGGGCCCGCCCTTCAGAATACCGCCAGTCTTGCCGCTTGGCTTCTTCTCCTCGCCTTCCGCAGCCTCCTTCTCCTCATCCTCGGGCAGGATGCCCTCATCCCAGCCGGCAATCAGCAGGCTGACGCCGTACGGCCGAACACCGCCAGATTGAGTAGCCTCCTGCATAACCTTGGCGACATCCTGAACCAATATCCGTGTCGGGGGGTACTCGTTGTAGATGCGCTTGTAGCCAGTGTGCGACACTTTGCGTGCCTTGTCAACGAGCACTCTGTAATCGGGGCCCATGCCAGAGTAGACCATGCCGATGTTTGGGGTGACGAGACTGATCTTAGACAGCGAGCTGGGGTCGGCTAGCGGTGACGAGGACTTCTTTTCGGTGGCGAGGACGATGCCATTTGTCGCTTTAAAGGGTTAGCAAGTGATCGACCAGCTTCGACTGAGAAGGCGGGGTGGCTTGCCTTTGATTCCTAGGGCGGTGACACCCTGGTTGACGGCGTTGAGGGCATACTCTGATAAGTGTCAGCTTTCGAGCTTGCAATCAAGGCGCTGTTGCGGATGAGGCAAGGGTATACCAATTTGTACCAGCTTGCCGCTGGATGAGGTTAGTATAGGAGCTCCGATGAACCACGACAGGATGCCTACCTGGGCGAGAAGGTCGTTAGCGAGAAGGAGTATCGGTCAGCCATGGCGTGATAATGTTTGTGAAGTGACGAGTGAGTGGTTTTGGTTCGGTTGATGGGGCCTTCGCAACGGAATTGAATGTGGTGAGGCTGTTCGAGCTTCGCACGGATCACTGTCGTAGGCTGTAGCTCTTGCTTCCCTCCTAGGCAACTCGCGCCGCGTCAAGCTCCAGCATACTGACAGCCCCAGGCTCTGCTCTAATCTGGTCCGTGCTTTCTTCACGTGACCGCCGCGCAAGAGAGAGAGAAAGTCTGATTATGTCATTCTTTTAGCTCATATGATTGGCGACCAGCCCCATTGCGGGGAGAGGAGCTTGGGGCAACAGGTTAGACAGTAAAGGTAGGAATCTTTCTTTTGCTTCTGCGAGGTTCTTCCATTCTTCTCTCCTCTATCAATCGTAAGGACGACGTCCTCCTCTGCCCTTCTCGGGTAGTTAGTTTCTCTCCCCTACCCAGTTACGAAAAGACACGTTTTCCTGACCTCTAGTTTTTCTTCTCCCTCAACACCACGTTATGGTGGACACTGTCTGATAGGCTTGCTCTCTCTCAGCCACCATATCACGTTGATGAGCTTCTGACCACGCTTGGTATTCCGCCCCAGCCTGCACCTGAACACCTTCATCCCACACCGAGCCTTGAGATCGATTACAGATCCACGCCACTACCCGAAGCTGTTCAAACCTTAGAATGGACTCTTCTTCTGCTCAGTGGACTTGGCCCGACGACGTCCCGAGTGCCAGTACTGCGAACGATCATGATGGCCAGTCTCCAAACCAAAACGAGTCTCAGCACACAGAGCCTCATCAAAGAAGAGCGGATTTTGAGTCGCACCCGCAACCACAACCACAGCCGCGTCAACGACACTATGGTCCGCGGAGTTGTCGCATATGTCTTGAAGAGTGCAATCCTACATGGCCCAGCCCTGGCAACACAAGCACTTTAGGCGGCATGATGGGATCCGGCGCCAAGCCTGTGTACATGTCTGCAGACGGCTTGGGTCGCCTGATATCGCCCTGCAAGTGCAAAGGATCACAGAAGTACGTTCATGAGGCCTGCCTGCGAGCCTGGAGAACCGCAGACCAGACAAGGCGGTCCCCAAACTTCTTCACGTGCCCAACATGCAAGTACCAATACAAGCTGAGTCGGCTATCCTGGGGCACACGGCTTCAGAGCGGTACTGCGCAAATCAGCCTCACGGCTTTTGTGTTTGTGTTTTCGGTTTTTTTGCTGGGTTTCGTGGCAGATCCCATCTTCAACCTCTGGGCTGATCCGGTCGGGACCATTGCAGAAACTGTCGTTGGCTCATTTGACGATTTTGGGCGCCCTCCAGAGCCTGTACACGTTCCTGGAGATGGAACATGGTACGAGCACTTCGTCAAGGGCTTCCTTTCTCTTGGTATCGTCGGCTTCTTGAAGTATCTCATTGCCATGTCGCCATGGCAATGGTGGAACATGCGAGCCAGCGGCATCATGGGTGGAGGGGGCCGTCGCGGGGGAGGCGGTCGTACCCGGAGCGAAGGTATCAGCTGGGCCCTCGTCATGATCGGGGCTATGACTTTCATCTACACCGTTTGGAAGGCTGTAAACTCACTGAGCCATATGGTCCTCCAGCGAGCTGGCGACAGTGTACTGGATGTGGGTAACGAAGACGATGATGAGGACTAACTTGGTGCGCTGCACAGGAAGACGATGTGTCATGATCGTGAGCATGGTGACAGCGGCGCGTATCGGAAAAGGCGTGTTTGTATGGTCCAACCCGGCAACTACCGCTGATAGCCTGCATTGCACACTCTTAAGTTGCCTCGAAGTTTCTCTTCCACATCGTGTCAACTAGTCTGTGTGCAAAGATTGAGTCAATGCTTGTTCTCTGGAAGCGGCCGTTTTGGTCCCTTCCAATCCTGAACTGCAGAAGACGATCAGCCTCGATGACGAGCACTGTTCCAGAGCTTTGTTCTTTGGAGCTTTGCTCCTCGCCTTCTGTGGTGATCATGGCATACCAGCCAGACTCGTGATCACTGCTGGCCTCAGCTGATACATTCTCAAAAGCTTAACGACGGACTGGAATATCTTCAATCTCACTTATACACTTTGTCTTGTACCCCAATAGCCTTGATGCGTGGTCGTAGTACTCACTCAACATGATCAGCTTGCCGCCAATTTTGGTGATGATTGGCATCGCTCTAAACGGGACAGTTATCTATCAGGTGTGGGCACACCCTGGTCACCATGTATGCATTGCTGCCGATCCCGAATCTTCAATTCGAGGTCTTGGCTTCAACGAGTTGCATTTGACAATTAAACCTTAACGTAATTCTTCGGGGAATCTTCCACGCTTAAGA